ATCCCATCTGCTTAAAAATGGATAGATTCTTGGCTAACATCTCATGAATCTTTGAAATGTTGAGTGATTTGAAGAAATGAATTCAAATCCAGTCGGGCTGTCTGCCTGTCTGCTCTGTGGTCACTGGGAGACGGACTGAACCGGAGAATCGCCAGCATATTTTGTGAAAAGCCTTTCAGATCTTACACAAGATTTTGTCAAACACTGAGGAATATCATTACTCTACCATATGCAACCATGCTTTCCCAACGATCATATATATAGAGTCATGCTTTTACTAAGCAACGCCGGAGACACATGCGTTTCAACTCAATGTAATGCAACTTGCACCTGATTCTACAGGACCGAAGAGGTCCTGTGTTCCATCATATTCAGTGGTCGTAATGGACATCAAGACGAAGCATGGTGCTCACAGTCACTTCCACGCAACCCATAGGCAATGTTCACAGTGTTAATCCATGCTTGTTGGATCTTGTTGGAACGTTGGAATGGATTGTACGTTGGCGAAATGTGGCTATCTGATCAGCTATCTCAATGTCCTGAGGAAGTTTTGGAGCGTCTCGAAGGGCCAGATTGACCTCGCAAAAGGAAGAGTCACATGTACTAAGGTGGAATCTGCTGAATAAGCAATGAAGCTTTAAACTTTAAACACATAATAATAAGTAATTGTTCAAACAAAATACACTACAGTGTACACAATGTACAAAGTCAAGCACGAAGGGCATGGGTGGTACATGGGCAGAAGTCAGGGCTGATCTGTGTGCGGCATTGAATTGTGTGCCTGCGACATTTTTTGCCGACAGGCACCGTTCTCGCTCATTGCCTCCCACAAGCAACACTCATGAAGAAATGACATGGCATGATTTCAATCCAACAAGCACGCTTGTGCCTCACTTGCCATGGCCTCGATCTTCTGAAGAACCTGGGCACGGCGCTGTCAAAACATTTGTCGGAAAAGGCCATCCTGCTGTCAGTGACTCCTGCTGAGATGATCGTGCAGTGAATATGCCAAGCTTGAGAAAAATGCTTCCCCGCTCGGAGGCGGTGGTTCATCATCCAAATTCGGGACTGTGTACCTGGGTTGGGAAGGGAGAGGTATGACTAGCGGAGAAATGCACTGCACTTGATCTTGAAGCGGGAAGCGGGTTGCACGGATATAACATGATATAACTAGGTTCAAAGCGTTTTGGCCTCCAGCACCATTTCTTTGACTGGGTCATACTGAACCTGGCAGGTCGCATCCCTCAAGCAACCTTCCAAGAAAGATGAAACTGAAACGTCAAAGAACAAACAGTGATCCGATGGAGTCCCGTTGACATGGTCTCTCAGAGGTTCTTCTCGACTGACCAAATTCGCAGGCTCCGCATGTAGATGGATTCCAACATCACCCTTTCATCACAGACAGCGAGAAGATCACTTCACACTCTGCGGCATCTGGTGGTCGTTTTCTGCTTTCTGTTGCTCTGCCTGCTTAAAGACAGTCGGGTGCAATGGGTGCCGCAACTTTGTGCAGGGCCATCCATATGCTGCCTCAACCTGGGTCATGAGTCTGTGACGCTTTGTAGGCCGGAGGACTCGAGCGAATTTATTGGCATGTCCTATCAATTCTGGAATTGACTGTTTATTCTTGATGAGCTATACCGCTGCTAGCTAGACAGCCTCACATAGTACTGAAAAATATCAGAAACTCCACTTTGATGCATCCTGAGGTCAACACAGGAGAGAGGCGCATAAATACAGACTTGACTACGGCTGCACAGTCAGCCCGCAGTTCCTACATTAGGATTTGGTTCAGAACGTCGGTTTCTCCACTGGTCCACAGGCAACTTGGTTATGAAATGGTTTGGATTACCTGAGAGTAAGGTCCAGGTGGTGACAAGTGAGGCATCACTTGCATGATACTACTCACCCAAATGAAAGATTGTGCCAGAGTACAGACAAACAGAAACTAGTAACAACTACAGGTTTTCAGTAAAATTATATTAAATTAGTAACTTGAGGATCTTGAGGTAAGGGATGGATTCAATTTGGCTGTGACTTCTGCTTGATTTCTGCTTGATCCCGGGCTGCGTTGCGATGTCAAACCGTTTGAGTCGATGGGAATCCAAAGACCTGCAGCACAAAATTGGCATGTGGTTTCTTGGGACCAAAGAAAATATGCTGCAGTAATATAGACCCAGCAATAAATTAACGCACTAAAGGGCATTAGTTAAACATATTATATGTCAAAGCAAGTTCACCTGGTTTCAATGAGAATGGTTTGACCAACAAAAAACTTTAAAACTGTCACGGATCGATCACGCATGGCACAATTATCGTTGCATGTCAAGACATTACGAATACAGAAAATATTCACACTGCCACACTGCTGCCCGTTGCAAGTGCTAACTGCCCTTCTGGAAACCAGTCATAGTTACCCTATGTTACCCTATTGTTTCCATTCTCAAACGTCCAAGAGCTTCCAAGAGCTCACCCTTCTTAACAAACCAAAGCAGTCACACCCGTTGAAGTTTCGCTGCGAATCAGCAGAGTAAAAACATGCACAGACCACATACCACTTTGGACCACGGACTGAGAATGACTCAGAGATCTGGTGCTATGATATGCTATATGCAGACATGATAATCTTATGAGTTATGATTTGCATTGATTTGCTATGTTAAGCAGCTGCTGGGCTTGTTTTTTGAGAAGCTGCGGTTGCACGCCATCTTTCGAAGCGCGCATGGCCATCACCAGTGAAACACGTGCCAAAGTGCTGTGAAACAGTGCGAATTCTGCGCTTGAACAGGCTTGAACAGTCAAAATAATGTGATAAGGATTGCTTGAAGAAGGCATGATCATGCATAATCTTCAGTCCTGCCAATATGTGGATTGGACTCTCAGTTTCTCATTGCAGACAGCCAAGAATATCTGGTTCCGTTTGTGGCTCTGGTTCCGTTTGTGGCTCTACCTTGGGACCGTAGTTGGTACATGCTCAATATATCTCAATGGCATTATGCAGTCATCGAGTGCTGCGCAAATCATATCCCTCGGGGTCTCACTCCTCTGGAGCCGGCGGTTCTTCCAAAGAACCCTGCGGCTCCTCAACCTCTCCGGGGTCCTTCAATGAAGGTGAAAGTCAGAGTTGCAGTGGTGAAAAGCAAGCAGCCCACAGTGACGTCGGGAAGGTATGCTATGCCATCTCCCCACCGGTTTGGTTCTGAGTGTATTTCTGAGACAGAGATTAGAATCATTGAGTACCAGTGCCTCTTCGCTAGATCAGTAGATCAGCTACAACTTTCTCCAAATGATGTCAACTTTGACCCTCCTCTGGCTCGTCTTGGACATCTGGAGGTGCCATGGGAAAGAAGTTGCTGCTCACGGCTCCGAGACCATAACCGACCTCACCGACCTCAAAAAGGGGCTCTGAGACCACGATTCCCAACTATACAAAATTATACTATTGTATAATATATTGTATAAATATGTATAAATCTGCGTTCTTGGATATAAATGGTTATAAATGCATATATGTAGAGAGAGAGAGAGAGAATGCCTTTATCGCATTTCTGCTCCAGTAGGGTCCGTGCATAAATATTCACAAACTGCCCATTGCGGATGGCACAGACCTCAGCAGGCTCCAAGTCACCAACCAGAGTGGCCAGAGATGGCCAGAGTGGGGTGAACCCCAGGGTGAACCCCAGGGTGAACCCCGTCCTCCGATGTCCTCCGTTCGTTTTTTTTAATCCCGTCCCTTGCACCCTTTTGTCTCTGGATGTCTCTGGTTTGATGTTTCAAGACGCGATACGGGAAGCAACTCTAAATATCCATCTCGACCAACTGACCACAGTGTATTGACACTTGTCGAGGAAGACATTTTGAGGGTATTGAAACTGATCCATGACAACACTTATATATTGGTCTAAAAATCACGCAAATGCATGCAAATGTCTGAAATGCTCCCTGGATAGTGTCACTGCTAAACCAGCTTGAAAAGTAAAGTGTAGAATCTGACAGAATCTGACCCATCTGAACAAGTGGTGAAGAATATTTAACGTTTCGAATCCAGAGACACTTATTCATGGATGGTGGATCGTGAAACCACGGCTAAGTGCGCTGCCGCACCAGGCCAAGAAAGTGAACGGACGTATACAACGGCGCTTGACCTAGCGTAGTCGCACATCAAGCAACCCGTAATCCGATCACTGCACATGTATGCACATGTTCAATCATTTGAATAAAGGTGAATCATCGTAAATCAATCCAATTGTGTCACAAAGACGTCACAAAGAGACGCATCAATGAAGATCAGGTAAAACGAACGAACGAGCCGTGGCTGAGACGTCCACCTCAAAGGAGCAGCCGGATCTGGTACAGACCGGTACATCGTTGGATCACCGGCCTGGACCAGATTGTCACGGCGAGGATTTCAGATGACTTTAGAAAGATCAAGCGATCAAACGCTCAAACACTCCACTGATTCTAGAACTTGCAGGATGACTTCTCCGAAATTTCTCTTGAATCAGCTGAGCCTGCTTGATGCTCCACTGCAAGTGATCTTCATGTAGGCCACGAATGATCTGCGGCAAGTCAAACAATTGATTTCTGAGGCTTTCAGTGTTTTGCTTCATTTCAGAATCGAAACCGAGATTTCTCCAAGCTACGTGATTCCAACATATTCCAACCCCAGCAAAGCTTGAATTCATGGCATGGAGATCAGTGCATCGTAGCACCTTTCTGGGGAAGCATTGTGACTCTGGAAGATGTCTCATGATGTCTCTCAACAATTCTCAACAGCTTGCCTCTGGAACTGGGTCCGCCGCTTGTTCCTGTGCATCAGTTGAACTGCAATATCTTTCACCATGTTTCATCTTTCACCAACACGGATTTTTGATGATTTTTGGCCATCAGATTTGTGCACTTGTAGGCCTGGTTTGCCGAATCTCATCCATTGTCCATGTTGTGTTGTTCACAGTGCAAGGTGTAGCCACCAATTCTAGACACATCCAGACACCAATTCTCTGGCCTCCCTCATCTTGTCAGCCAATGCAATTTCTTCGGGTGTGTCACCCTCCGGAATCTCTGGGTGGACAGTACGCCCACTAAGCAAGAGATGCGGCCTCATGCTGAAAATCGCTGAAGGATAGGAAGGATAGTTGAAAGTCCTGAAACGTAAGAAACCAACAATGTCGGATCATTAAGTTACCAGCTGCATGTGGGTCCATGCCTCGTGCAAGGGGAAAAAGAATATATTCGCAAAGCATCCGGCAAAGAAGTGAAACCAAGGACTCACCCAGAAAATCAATCTCAAAAATCAAGCCAAATCACAGAAAACAAACTACAACAGTCACACCGTTAGCTTCACACGGCTTCAGCTTTGCCTCCTTCTTCTGGAGTTCGGATGAAGGCGGGCAAACGAACTCCTCGTTCTGCTCAACTGGCGACTCCTCATCCTCCTGCGATGCTCATGCAAATCCATGCAAATCTATGGAAGTCCCCTGTAACCCTTTTGACTTGGCAGGAGACTGACCCAAAATGGAAACGCTGGAAAAACAAACGCGCTGAAAATAGATCAGGAGGCGAACGAAAAGCCAAACCTCTGTGCACTCTCTCAGGCTCTAGGAACTAGGAACCAAATGGGACAAAACAAGAAACACACGGGCCCACACACACACACACAGAGAAACACATAGAACCACATAGAAACACATTGAAGCACATAGAAGCACATAGAAACACATAGAAACACTAGATAAGTCCAGATGAGTCCAGATGAGTCTAGATGAGTCTAGAGACAGAAAAATAATGGGAGACATTCTCTCACTCTATGCGTACTGCGTCCAAGCCTTCTTCAAGAAGCCCTTTGGGCAAAGGACCGTGTCTGCAGCGATCCGGGCAATCTGTGCTCGGAGGTACACCTCAACTTCGAAACATTCAAAACGGATGGCTGTGGATGGCTGAACAATTTGTGCAATTTGTACAGTCCATCGCATGCCATGCACCTCTTCTTTCCCATCAAAGAAAGGATGTGTAATTACCTGCCAATGAGTATTCATTGCACGACCCGCTGCCATGCATTTACATTTTGTCAAATGCGTCGAAATTGACTTGAAGCAAGCTGTCCTTGGATCCTGCATTTCCTGTCAGCAGCCTCTTGATCGCCCGCGCTGCAACGATCTGCCCACGGTGTGCATTTCACGGGTGCCCCTCGATGCCATAATCTTTCAATATCTAGCAATGGAGGGCTCATCTGCCATCATGGATCATCACAAACTTAACTAGTTGTGAACAGCAACGCACGAGCACCAGCCTGATTTGGCTTTATGTCTGGAAGTTTGCGCCACTCTCCCGCCAAATCGTTGGTCACATAGTACGTGAATTGGTTTGCACCCTGACCTCAGAGTTCAAATGAGCAAATGTAATCAGCAGAAAGTATGCAAGAAATCAGAAACAGCCTGTACAATTACCCGCTACATGTCTATATATATATATATAAATATATTAATATATATATATATTATATATATAATATTATGCATGTGTATCCACACATTTCTGACCACAGTATGTCTATCGTGAGGATTCAATATGTATCTATATGATTCTATCTTATATAACTCATTATAACTCTATGTTTGCCCAGCGCCCATCGATTTGATCTCAACTCAGTTGCAGGCCAGGTTGATCTGCGTCAGGGTCTGGCTCATCTCCGCCACCATCTCGCTGTGCCTACACATGTGCAGCCTACCCTGAAGGCGGGCTTAACCTATGGGCCTATGGGGATGTCTCGAAATGAAGGTGCCCATGGGTGCCCCAAGATCCCTTTTTTTAATTGAAAATTGGAAGCATAGGGGCACCATGGGGCACCCGTATTTTGAGACATCCCCACAACGTAATGGTAATACAACTTCCGCATTGAATTTACCTGTGCCTCCGCAACATAGTAGTCCGCCTCTGTTCCCAGAACCTGGGGCTCTTTCAGTACAGCGAACCCTGGGACATCATTTCCTTCATTTTCCTTCCAAATGCCTGGCCTTGCCCCAGAATCTCAGCTTGTTCAGGCCATCTTTTTCCTTTGCAGCCAGATTCCGCAAAGAGCACATGACCTGCAATTCGCTGCAAGATCCCATTTGGATCCATTGGGCTGTGATACCTGCAATTTGTTGGATTCCTCTGATGTTTCTTTTGCACATGAAAACCATATCTATCCTTATCCGCAATATCCGCAATTACATTCAAGGAGCCTGGAACGATTCGGCCTGGCCAAGTCCAACTCCGGCCTTATCAGGCTACCAGTATGACAAACGGAACGTTCTCAGGATAGGTCTTCCAAATTGTTCTGAATTGTTCCGATGGCACGGTGCGACAAAGGGAAGCAAGGTAAGCATAGCGCCCACGACAGCATCTCTGCATCCTCTGTGAAGTCCGGGATTCTGCGAGGAACGGTGATGATCGACCAAACAACAGTTTGAAGACATCCACCCAGCAATCTGTTACTAAGTCTTAAGTCATGCCGATTCCTGCCAAAACTTCGTCGAAACATGTTGAAAGCAGCGGCTGTTGCAACGAACATCTGCTGCCAAGTTGACGCATGGTTTCTTGACATTCTGATCTCATCCACTAGCAAGCACTCTCTTTTGAACATCCAATCCAATCACTGTATTCTATCCAGCCGGCACATAGGCACTGCGCAAACGAGCATGAGGATCATAGTCATCCTCTTGTTGTCTGGATGAATATCTGTCTTACCGGTTCACGTGAGTCAAATCTGACAATTGTGATCCTCAGAATCAGTGATTGGTGAGACTCTAATCCCAGCCCAAATAAACTGCATTGGCCGTGAATTGCAGCAACCAAATCTTGTGCTTAGTTGCACCCGGTATCAAATCTTACGGTTCGCCTGTGTTGCTTTTGCTTGTTCACAAATGGCCACTGCATCCCATCTTCAGTCCTAATTTCGACCCTCACAACCCATCTTGATACCTGCTAGAAGCCACTCAAGGACTCTCAAGCAGAATCCATTGTAATGATTTGTAATCAATACAAACCAGTACAAACCTATATAGATGTTCCAACCTGCCCGGAGCCAAGAATGGATGTTGCGAAGCCTGGCTTCTGCGGCTCCAAAAGTCTAGTGGAAAATATGAAAAACACATGTCAAAAAACAAAGAAACCGCCAAGCAATTCCTGAAGCAAAGCTCATGTGGATCGGACCTCAGCAGCACCTGGTCTCTTTGCTGGATCCAGCCTAGCATAGGGCGCCAAGCCAGGCATGCAATGAAGTCTTGTTTGCAAAAGAAGTGTAAACACAGGCCGCATGTGACGAATAATTACACGATACTGCTAGGACGATAGGATAAAAGGGTACATAAGTTTCGGGCTGCAACAATTGCGACAGGAAGTCAAGGAAAAGCTCATCATCTGTTCCTTAGGTGGGGTTCGAACATACAATATGAGATAATATGAGCTTCCAGTATAGCGCAGGGATTAAACTGAGCCGGACAGGTCGAACAGGAACATTGAGAATGATGCGCATGCGCTGGCGAAGTGACGTCTTCTTTGGCACCTGCATGAGATGTTCGGGTCCAAACTGGACGTTTTCGCATGGAGTAGACATGTGTGATGACATGTATGAGGCGTTGTGACGCCCTTGTTGCTGGACTGAGCTCAAAAGGAGGGCACCAGCAAATGCAAGCGACGTCCGCGTTCTGGGCAAGGCTGCCCCTCAATTTCTTGGTACAACTGCCCGTCCTCCAAGCTTTGCAAGTTTAGATTGATGAAAGTATTTGCAAACATAAAATATCAGGAGTACTTGGCAGACCAAGACAGTCCTGAGTGAAATACTGCGGGACATATTTTCCGCTTGTCATCAAATGATACCTGGACAAACCATGACAAAAACGAGATATAAGTCAGAGCAAAGAGTAGGTACAGTGACATACAGCAACTACACAAGGAAAATGCAAAGTTTGCTCCATCGGCCGCAGCTCGACAGCTTGGCTGGTCCGAGGCTGAAACGGAAAGTCACCAACAATGCCCAGAATTCGAGCCAGCAAGCTTTGCACCTTACAAGATTTTACAAACTCTTACAAACTCTTACAATAGACTGGCCATGAATGGCCCACAATATAGCACAACGTAATTTGCAAATAAGCTGAAATGCCCATCGAAGGAAAGCGTTTGTCGCTCAGGTTGCAGCTGAATCATTTTGAAAGAGGACATAGCCTGCATCACGACATGAGGATGATGAGGTGATGTCATGAGGCTTACCAAGGCTTGGGTCTTCCCAAATACTAACAACAATGGCCTGTCCAAAGTTCTGCAATGATACAGCCCAAGGACCAAAGGTCAATCTTCTGGTCGTACGGAAGACCCAGCATCACCTGAAGCTTAAACCACTGGTGTTTCTTGCATGTGGTTCATAAGATTGCAGGACTTTGAAATGTCTGATTTGACTTTGCCCTTGATACATATATGTACGTATATTATATATATAATCCATCTATGCTAAATCTATGCTAAATACATCTAAATACACTGCTGGATTCTTGGTCTGAGAAAGTGTCCTATCAAGATCCACAGGGCGCACCTCCGGTGCACGGTATGACCTTGATTGCACGTACGAAGAGAGGTGGTCGTCCACGAAGCAAGAAGAGCCAAAGTCTATGACCTGTGTTCAATACGTATTGTCAAAGTGCGTTCAATGAGAATCAAAGAGACAGATAGAACATGATCAAACAACCCTTCATTGTCGTACTAGCATGTAGCAACCAGCTCAATAGTACGCTGTGATGCTGTAATATGCTACTGTAATCATGAATCTGCTGTTCTCAAGAACACGCATGACCGCATGACTAGCAAAACTCGACACGTCAGGACGTCAGGTGTCAGTTTGGTAGGCCTTGACCTCACACCTGCTGTACGACTTGATCAAAATGTTCTCCTCAAAGGTGCTGTGCAGAATTTTGGAGGTTCTTCAATTTCTTCAGGAGAAGAAAAAAACATCAATCCACATCAATCCACATCAATCCACATCGATCCACATCAATCCACATCCAAAAACTGGGGCTCTGGCTGGCTTTAGGTCACAATGTATGAGTCGCAAAGAATGAACGTACTCCAGAGCGGTCAAAATCTGCCACGGTTGCCATCGAGCTTTGTTTTTTCTGAAAAGACGCACATTGCATCACAGCACAATCCAAAACGTCAAATCGAGCACCAAGAAGGAATACAATTGTCACGTCACGTCGTGTACAGTGACCGGACCGTACATTGCGCGGCGTGTCTACCTTTGGCTAAAGAAAAGCATTCAAGAACATGTAGCTCAAGGCTCAAGGAAAAGGCGCAACGCAGTAGGAAATTGGCGGCCTGTGAAAATGTCACAAAAAGCTCTTTAGGCATTCCAAATGCGCGCTCAAATGACCAAAACGTGCATGTATCTATGACGCGCGGCACGGTCTCTTGAACTTGAATGCCTAGGCGAGACCACACTCGCCCCTTTTTGAAATGCATCGAAATATGCCGAATAAGACTAAATAATCTACAGTAGCATTCCCTGACATATCTGCTACTGGTACTGGTGATGCATCAGAATGTACGAGGATAAACTCAAACACCGCGAACAAAAACAAGCAAGACAAAGGTGCGTAAAAAAAACAACATAACGAAAAGATTGAAGAGCTAGTCGCAGCGGAATGAACAAAATCAACCAAAACCATTCAGACAAGCAGCTGGCACCACTTTTTTCTGTGACTTTTCCTTCTGCGTGGAATCCCAAACGCAAAATGGCTGTTCATTGTTTATCAGCATCATTCAGCATCTGATTTTTCTGATTCATCGTCTGATGCCAGATCTCCTAACAGGTGGTTCTGCAGATCACGCTGTGCACAGGCCTTTCCTTCCTCTGCAAGCAAAGCTGAAGCTGCAGCACGCTTCTCTGCATCAGCTGCTTCTGCTGTCAGATGGACAGTTTTGCCAAGACCTTTGTGTGCACTGACAGCTGAGTGCTCAGCTTCCTTTCCTGTGCCATGTAAGAGCTCCTCTTCAGAATGTCCTTTGCTTCCTGACTTTCCATTTCCTTCTGTCATGTTTTGGGCATCAGTGGCATCGCACTTGCGCCTTTTCTCTGGCTCCATGGCCTCGTGCTGCACTTCTTCCTCGAGCGATGCCATGAATTTGTCCAAGGGATCAACGTCGTCGTCCTCCTCGTCGTCCTCCTGGTTTCCCGCGGCCAATTTTTGCTGCAGTTCTTCATTGCTCTTTGCGTGTTGCAAACTCTGCTGGATCAATGTGCTGAGTTTTGCTAGGGGCGAAGCTGCGTGTAGGTCTGCCACATGAACAAACTGTTTGCCTTGAAGCAGGCAAAAGCAATGCATCCCACGGAGGTGGCAAAGCAAATCAACAAAATGCATTGCAGATTCTTGTGCGCTGCGCTTTGGGCGTGACTTTACATGCCAGAAACGGCTGCGTGGGATGCCCTCCTTTCTGTCCAAGTGTTCACAAGTTCGCTGTGCATGTTCAATCAAAGTGTTGAGGTGGTCAAGGCTAGCCATCCCAGGAGCACCCAAGTTTGGCGCAATCTCTGTGTACAAAGCGTTCAGAGCAGCAGAGCGAAACTCTAAGAACGTCTGGATGTCGGCCAAGCTTTTGGACTCCCACCAGTGAGTTCGACCCGCCGAGGCAGTCCCTGACTTTGAATCCCAAGTGAGGTCAAAGCCCGAGTCCATGGCACAAAGGGCATCATATCCACGTGAGGCTCGATTGAAGGCTTGCTGCGCGCGGCCATCCATACATTTCTCTGGGTGAATTTGCTTCACAAGGCTTGTGTACCTCAGCAGCGATTCCACTGGAGATGGTCGCTGTGAGGAATCAGCACCAAGCAGAGCACCCGACGGATGCCTGGCGTCCAAAATGCGGCCCAGAGCATCTTCTTTGTCGCCGGGTTGAAGCACTGGGCCCATAGCCCCCATGGCCCCCGTGGCACTCAGCATGGTTCCAAGACCAAAGCATCGGCCAACATCTACCAAATACCGATACGAGATGATACGAGCCTATCAATATCATTCCATATCTACTGTATCTATCATATCAATTCATATCATGTATATAAATATATATATATTATTAAATTATATATATAGCCATATTTATATAGTATAAAAATATATAAACATGATGTGAACTTGGTGGGCAAAAGCAACTCTGAGTTGACCTCAGCTAATCTGTACGGAAAACCAACGACCGATAGTCCATAACTCATTCAGCTTCGGGTAATCCGCTATCTTGTTTGCAGGGCAACTCATGCTGTCACATGTGAGGCATGACGATCACATGCTATATGGTTGCCTACAAAACTTGGGCCTGGGCTGCGTGAATCAATGGGATCAAGATGACTTCAAAATGGAAGAGCAATGGGCAAGGATGTGCTCGAATTTATCTTGAGCTGTGTCTGTCAAGGCATCTGTGTCACTCTTTGCCTGCTTTGAGATCTTTTGTAGGCGACCCATAGTAAAATAAGGTTCGTCGCCTCAAGCTAACATCTGGTCAAAGCAGATCTTGCACATACGTTTTATCAAAGTTCCTGTGCCAGAGCTGGCGGGTGTGGAGACCTAGACTGTCCTTTCATTGTCGAACACGTTCCCTCTTCTCACAGCAGTTTTGTCGGGCAAAATCTCTCTGTCTGCATCCAAGGTGCCACATTCTCTGTTGTATTTGCTAAATTCATACAAATTGTCGCGGAGCAGTTCGGTCACAATAATCAAATGCTCCTCAGAGTCAGGGCAAGTAGAAAAACACGATCGCTGGTGATCAATCTCTATAAAATATATATATATATATATTATATTATATATATATACACATGCGCTTTATCTTTCAATGAATAGATGTATAAGGTTTTACCCCATAATTGCGCCGTGCCTAAAACAAGTTCCTGCCTGTTTTCAAACAGGTTTTGACTTTCCGGTCAAAGCGGTCCTTGTGATAGAAGTGGTCATAGAGGCCTTAATCATTTGAAGACATGCGGCAACACAAATTTACTGTCTTGCTTGCTGAATCATTGGTTCAATGCTCTGCTGGGCCTTTGGCGCAAAACATGGTTGTGATCAACGTTGCCATTTACATTGATGTACTTCAAGAGCTTGATTTCGTCCAGTGATTGATCAAAAAAGTCCTCGACATCAGCTGCAGGTATATTAATCCAGAGGGACCCAGGAGAAAAAAACAGCTTGAGAATGTATGCTACTCAGGTCCACTACAAAATCACACGGCTTGTGTCTGTGCGAACCCTCCAAACAAGATAAATAAGCTATGTGAACATAAATGATTATCTTGCAACTTCCCGGGTGGGCTCTCATGTGATCTTGCCACTGTGAGACGGTTTGGAAGTTTTAGAGGCGCAACTTTTTATTGGAATGCTTGCTTGACAGAACCTGCTGTTTCAGTGTGAAACAAGATTTGCTGCATGTGAATCACAAGTGCATTTGCTGGCAGCTGCACCACAGCGTGCCCCAGGGCCGAGACCAATTGCCGGTTCGCCCGATTATGTTCATTGAATGTTCATTAAGCTCCTACCCTCCCTATTTTCCTTGCAGAAAAGCGATGCAATGGTCGGGTTGGAGCTTGAGGATGCTTCAGGTACGCACGTTTGGCACACGTAGCATAAGAACTGAACAGCTGCACCAAAAGCAAATCCTGCACTATTGGTATAATTACTCGGACTCATGGATGTGGATGCATATAATTGTATATACATACACGACTATAAGTATTATATGTTGAGCTATATTATATGTATACCTTTGTGTACATACAAATATAATATTGCCACACAGTTCCAGCACCGACCGTGGGTGGGAAAAGTTGCAAAATGTGCATACAATATGATACAATATGATACAATATGATACAGTATGATACAGTATGATACAGTATGATACAGTATGATACAATCTGATACAATATGATACAATATGATACAATGTTTGTGACCACAGGCTAAAGGGTGAAAAGGAATGCTGCGTCTAGCCAAGGCCGGTGAAGGTAGAACAGAACATGGCAAGGGTGGCGACAAGTGCTTCCGTTGCATGTACAGCAGAAGGGAGCAAGTTTGACAACTTGGCCATTGTTGACTGGACCATGAAAGAACTGGCTGCTCTGGTCGCTGCCTTGTCATTCTTGATGATCTTCATGCAAACCATCTTGTTAGTGTCCAAGTCCAAACACTGCACCTCTGAAGACAGTCCGCGTGAGGAATGCCAAAATCTAGTCGAGTTCGGAGCACAAACTTAAGCGCAGGACAGCTCGAGAAAACGCGGCGGAACCGAGATATTCAATGATCTGATACCTTTCAACGGCTCTCCATTGATCTGAGATATCTATAGATATCTGAGTTGTAGCAAATGCAATCTTCCGATTTGCATCACAGCTTTCGATCCTTGAACCAAAGCTTGCCTCGCAGCAACCACCGTGTTTGTGCGGATTGGAAATTCCTGAGTAAATTCAAACTGTCTCAAAATACATCGACACATCCAGCAACTCTCAAGCACTTCTGAAGTCAACTGCAGCAATGTTTATATATGGTCATCGTTACAGTCAAGGAAGCGACCTTGCTCTCTTCAAAGCCCGTCTTGTCCCTTTCGAAGACAACCCGCAGATTGAAGGAGTCGAAGATCTGAGATCTTTGCAGCGAAAAAAGTCTGAACACCCTGATGAATCCTGATGACAGAAAGACACACCATGTCAAAAAGATTGTTGTTCAAATTTTAGACTGCCCGCACACATTGTCAGGATCTACGGATTGATGGAGGATTTGGGGGCAGAATTGATAGAATTGTTTGCCAGGGCACGGCCCCGTTCAACTCAACGGGGTAGAAGTTATCTCCAGATGGGGCGTACCTCACAGCTGAACCATGCTGAAGCCACTCCCTCCAGGGATGTCCAGGAACTGATCACTGAGCACTTTTTCCAGATCCCTTAGATCTCTTTCTCAACCTTTCTTCTTGCATCAGGCTCATCTGACTCCGACAATCAAGACCATTGTTGTTGCGTATTAGCAACAACTCCAATGGCTGGGCTACTGTGAAACAACTTCAGGAGTCAAATTCCAACAGCAAATGAGACGGGCAGTAGATGCTAAACTCGATTGACCTCGTCTCGCATGCTACTCATTTACTGACACTTTACATCAACTTACTGACTTGTGAATGTTGAACGCATGTTGAATACAAATTCCTTGGAGTGTCTGTGGCCCGGTCGGATCTTGCACGAGTATTCGTGGCACATGCCTTGAACAGAGAAAACAGCTTGACAGGGGATTGCAGCATCATGCAGCTTTGCGGGCTTGAAGAATCTCGAAGAGAACGCAAACATAAAGTATCCAAAAACAACAAAAATTGGAAAAATATTGGAAAAATATTGGAAAAATATTGGAAAAATGTGTGAATATGTCCGAAAATCGAAATCCCGTGCAGCTTCGAGGCTCTGGAACATTGAACAGCCCCTGCACACAGCTTTCAGCGCATAGGAGCACCTGTGCAGACTCGCACCCAAAAAACACTTACAAACATGTTTCTCAATATAATTATAATACATAAATATTAATGAATACATAATCTATCATGATCTTAATGATATTTATATTTTATATAGATATTATATTTTGTGTACATTTATGTACTATCTGGTGCTGGCAGGCACCAGCATTCCTCAAATATGAACAGGATCGCCGTACATAACCACACTCAAGCCGGTCATCTGCAGTTCTGTTCCACTTTTGTGCGCTGTGGCCTCCATACCTTCAAATGCTTGGTGAAAGCTTCGCGAAGTACTAGGAATTTCTACCAAGATGGCATCCTGACGCGTCTGCTCACACTGCACAGACACTTGCAATGAATACATCTGCAGAGCAGCTCGTGCTCGTGCAAATCTGAAATCCTATCAATAGACATTCTATGCATCCTTTGCTTGTGACAGCTTGTGATTGTGATTGCTCTGCTCTTTGTAGCTGTCCGTGGACTTCTCGATCAAATTCAGCTTCTCTCGAAAGTGACCTCATGTTGGTTCTGCAGTTCTACTTCACGGACAAACGTTTCAACTGCTGGCGAGACCTTAGATTCCAGCTACTCACGATATTGGAATCGCTGAACTCATACGCACCTACCTTTGCGCATCAACTCTCCAAGCGCAAGCTGCAGAGTCAGCACGCTTTGACAGCTGGAAATCTTTGCTTCGCACCGGAATAGTCCCCAGCAACATTCGTTTTTCGAAAACTGGTCCGCGTTCACAACCATAGTTGGCTGTGCATCTGGAGAAGCGCTCTCCAGGCACAGACCAGCCTGTACTGTGACGCGGTGACGCCAAACACATCGTGAGCTCAAAGTATCTCAATGCATCTCAATGTATCTCATAATTTTGTCATGCGTCCAGATTACTTCACAATACCTTCACTTTACTCGACCACTGTTCTCGCATTCGTTGCCGCCATACAACCTTTACCAAATTTTACCCTCTGGGTCGCTGACGCATTGTAGTTATCTTGCTTTTCCACAGAAGCGTTCGATGTGGTCTTGGTGAATCAGAATGGCAAATTTCGTCCATGTGCCAAATTTACAAATCAAAACTCTGAGTTAAAATTGCACCGAGTTTTGGAAAATTTAACCCATCAAGCTTCGCCCGTTGCAATTTTTTTCCATTGGGCAAATCCCATTGAGCTAAGCTCCAAGCCCGGGCAAGCGCATTGTCCCCCCGGCACCATCCGAAATTGCCACAGGATCTCCAAATAGCAAACCACCAATTCTCAGCAGATCCTGGGAAACAATGGAGTGACTTGAGTTCCTTGCTTTACAAGCAGCTAGTTTGGTGGAAATTACATGGACCCCAATAATGGGACCCCCATTCCCGTAAGCTTCCCATACTCCTCCCAAAGAAACCCTAATAGCATGGGAAACCTGTGGGAATGGGGTCCCATCCTTAGGGGGTCCCTATAAATTCCATGGACTAGTGTATGGTTAGGACTAGCTGTGCCAGTCCAGTTTTTTTTACTGGCTTACCCTCTGAGTGATCTGTGCATATCTGCGCCATCTAGTTCTTTCGATTGGTTGAAAGACTAAGGCATTGGCGTAGTGCACTCCAAAAAGAATGCTTGAGCTGCTTGAAGTATGGACCTTAGTCACCACTACAGAAATCAAATTCAGCACTGGACCATTCTGTCGTGCAGCATTGTGTCCATTCCGCGCGGAACTAAGTATTACACAATAGTCAAGTTTGCATGTCCGTGCGCGTGAGTGCGATTCGACCAGAAGGAATTACATCCCTTCTCAACCTACCCTAAGAGGCTGGCTGTTAGTGGCTGATTTCCAGCATCTCCAAAAGTGCTCCTGGCTTCCTGCCGGAGTGTTGAGGATTCAAGATTACTCAGCGGCCTAGTGACCTGGCCCCCATGCTGCTTGAAAACCCAAAGCCATGTCCCCCACAACACGCAAAACAAAACCTTGAACACTCCAAAATCTGGTGGAGCCTAGAGCATACATGACTAGACAACAGTGCATGAATACGCAAGAATACTTGCATGATAGAGACAAAGCCAATTTGTACATGATGGCACACATACATGAACGAAGAACATTTTTTATGGAAGCAAGTAGGTAAATACTTGTCGCTCATCAATACACATTCATTGATAATATTGTGCCAAAACAAAGACCAGAAGCAAAGCAGCGCGACCAATCCTGCACAAGTCCCAGCGCATGTTCAAATACTGCAAGTGAACGATGCATCTCAACAGGGTCGTACCTTACCAGGTGCAGACTTTTTGGTTCCCATACGAAAAGAGAATTGTGACTGATATGAAAATTCAGTAAAGTATGGACCTCACATGGTTCTGGCATATTCTGAGCCTCAAACACGCAGCACCAATGGGTGTAGAAGCCATCCAGAGACCAGCTGGGCCACTTTTGCAAAACAATCGTTGCCGCTTCAGCGACCTCCTGGGCTGCCAAACCTTCTCGATTTAGGCCAGTATCCACCATGATGTGAAGCCTGTCCCGGAATTCGCTGCAGCAAGTCTTAGAATTACTTACAACATTCTTACAACTTGGTGTCTGCTGAAGTGCAAATAGGTTAAATGTCCTTTGTCCATCTTTGTCCATGAACGAAGGTGCTAGCGGGAAAAAGTAGGTAGGGAAGTTCATACCACGTCCGTGGGTAGCACGAACAAAGGAGAAACACATAGAAACACAACTTGAAGGAGCATCTGAGTGTTGCATCATGGACATGAGACATGATGGTGGATTTACCCGGACCCTCAAATGCGAAGTCGAACGTGTATATATATATAATTATATAACAATATCATATATAGTATTGCCAGTAGCGGTAATAGTGATAGCACTGGCACGACCAAATAGTAGCGGTAGTAGCAGTTGCACTAGAAATGATAATAGTTGCGCAGAGGATATGCCAGGTGCATCCGGGTGACGCTCTTAGCAGCATGGACCTCTCGCTTTCCAACAAAAAACATATCGTGCACAGCTGGATGCAGCCTTACTTTCGAGCTGCAAGATGGCCACCGAAGCGCCTCCAAGCAACATGCATTGGAACTAGGATTTTGCGAGATAATTCTCTTGGTTCGCACACGCCGTCAATGCAACAACTTTCCAATCATTTTTGCGGTGAGTTTTGAGAAACAAGCCTGTTGGAGCCAAGCCATGGACAGGACAGAGACGGTAATGTTTGCCTGGTTACAAATGGGATCAATCGGCACAGCTACGTCGCTACGTTCTTGTCACAAGAGTCCATGAAAATTCTGCAAAGACGTGCCAGGGTGGCAGAAGCCAGTTTGCACATCGTGGCCATCCCGGGTGATCGATACAGCAAGATCATGGGCAAAAACATCGGCACCTCGGATGAAAGTTCAAGCTGAAAGACCAAGATTCTTACCATTTCTGTTTCCGCCGTTGCTTTATCCCACTGTTGTCCTTTGTTCATATGCTTTTGCATCTTTTGCATCCTCAGAATCGCATTTTGCAACAGTAGCAGCTGCTGTCCAAGTGCTACAACCTCACTGCCCCTCACCCAAGACATTGCTCAGCTCGTAACTTCCGGGGCCATGCGCAAAATCAACCTGAAAAGCTGTCAGTGACATCGCAATAATACTATGATAACTCTGTGACAAGTGGATCATGCAAAAAGATGCCATTGACATTAAGCTAATGCCCTCTGATTCTGCGGTCAAAAAGCAATGAAAACACCAGGTTCCTGACCCAGTCTCAACTTCTGACACAAAAAGTGCATCGATCTTCGCTGAAGCTAGGACTCTGCCTGAGAGCACGCAGAGTCTGGTCAGGTTTCTTATACAATCGCTTTCATGACCTGTACGATGGGCTTGCACAACATGTGACTTTCTGACCAGATAGCAACTTGCAAGTGTCAAGTAGTCGAGACTGCCAAACACATTCCCATACATTCCCTTTCTGGTCTGGTTTATTCATGCCTGCCAATACTGCACCATGTCCATAAGCATTTGCCTGACAGCAGGTCACAAATATGTCTCGGTTTGATTGGTTTCGCGCGCGTCCGGCCAAACCTTCAAAACAGCTCCAATTGGTGGAGCTTCTGCAAAGTGCGTTTCTAAGTAGATCCGAACCTTGGCTCATCTTGGCCCCTGCTTCCAGCTGCAAGTCTCAGTTATCTAAAATATTCAAGGCATGTTCCCAAGGTTGGCGCAATGTGCAGATTTTCCCTCAATACCCGGCCGTCAACCTGAGGCTGCAAAGTTGCCACGACCCAACACCCTGAGAAGCTTTGAGTTTCTTGAAACAATCCCTGGACCAACAGAAGCAATCGAGGAACCTCGGCCCAACTGTTTGGACGCTCGCCCTTTGATAAGTCCAAGCATGTCCGTGGCTTTTGCATCACCGGAGGTTCGCTCAAAAGACGCCTTGCACAATCATGCACAATCTATGTTTAGGCTTGTGTTGGAAGGGAGGGAACTGCATTCATGGGTCTGATGATGCACAGGTGTCACTTTATGCCTAGAGATGCATGGAGAGAATTTAGATGAATTTAGCACAATTCAGTTTCAATCTTGACATATCTTGACGTGTGGCAATCGAACAAATAGAAATCCGCCCACACCGCTTTGGCGGTGAAGGCGTGCTTATTGGGGGGCAAAACAGCAACACTAAATGCTCAATGACATTTGTTAATATAGCAGTCGCTATATCAGCTTTAGCTGGGGGGGGGCCCAAAAACGGTTTCGCACCGAGACCAGAATACGGTGGTGTTTTCGACATTTTTCGAGGATTTTTGGGTGTCTGAGCGCAAGAGGGTATTGAAATGGAATTTTGGGTCATTTTGGTAGCTTTCCGGCAATGGAAAAACGGCCAAAAATGAAAAAAACATTGTACATAGCAAGATTTTGCAGGGTTTTTGGATGCCAGAGCATTGAAAACACTGCAAAAACAAGTGTTTTGGACTGACGTTATAGCAAAAAACGTGTAAATTACCGTATGCTTGACTGGAAACATTACAAAAACACTGTCAAAAGCAATGTTTTGGAAGGATTTACTGCCTTTATGGCAAAAAACGTGTAAATTACCGTCTGTTTGACTGGAAACATTGGAAAAACACTGTCAAAAACAATGTTTTGGAAGGATTTCTTATATATATGTTGGAGTTGGCTACCGGCATTGGCACATGGAAAAATTGAAGAAAACACTGTAAATAGCGGTATTTTCAACGGTTGGGGAGATAAGGGAATTGGAAGCATTGTCGAACATGATGTTTTCGACCGGTTTTATGGCGACAAAAGTGTAAAGTACCGTGCTTTGAAGGAAACCATTGCAAAAACATGGAAACACATTCAAAGAACACGGGATTTGGGGGACTATCTAGGCGTCGTTGTCTAGCTATTTGAAATTCCGCAGCTTGGAGAGCCTCCAAGGGAGGGAAAAGTGAAAATTCCATAGCTTGGGAAGCTGTCACGGCGGGGAAAAGTGAAAATTCCCTAGCTTGGGAAGCCCCCACGGGGGGGAAAAGTGAAAATTCCCTAGCTTGGGGAGCCCCCACGGGGGGGAAAAGTGAAAATTCCCTAGCTTGGGGAGCCCCCACGGGGGGGAAAAGTGAAAATTCCCTAGCTTGGGGAGCCCCCACGGGGGGGAAAAGTGAAAATTCCCTAGCTTGGGGAGCCCCCACGGGGGGGAAAAGTGAAAATTCCCTAGCTTGGGGAGCCCCCACGGGGGGGGAAAGTGAAAATTCTTAGCTTGGGGAGCCCCCGGAAAACCACCCTTAGCCCCTCTCACGGACCGAAATAAACCTGCGGTGTGGGCGGCCACCCCACGCGAAGCGGGGTGAATACAGCAATACAGAGCAATACACATCGCCTCCGGTGTTTTCGCACTGCAATGACCTGAAAGACTTCAAGTCCTTGACTCTCGTGTCCTTCAAAGTATGTCCAAAATTGTCCCTGTCGGGTGTCCATGGGCCCTGAGTTCCAAGGCGTTCACAACTTGTTGCCCTTCTGCAAAATAGCGGCGCAGCACTCCTGGAGCCTCAAGCCGCAGACCTTTCCGGTGTGAGAGGTAAATCTCGAAGCCTGAGCATCGTCGCTGGAAGGAGACAACTCAGTGCTTCACTGCTCGGCCATTTGTATCCTATTTATCCATAATTAAATCATAATTACGTCTATTTCCTTCTACGATTTGATACTGGTCAAGTGACTAATCATCACAAGATCTGAAATGTACACCATGATTTGCTCCTTTCTTTGTCAACTGCTGGCGAAAGCACTCTTGCGGCTCCCGCCTCTGTGTACTAGCCACCTGACTGGGCGACATGGATCGTAAGTAGGGTCACGGATGACGCCAGATTCTGGTCCTTGGGCCCGAGGTCTGTGAAGCAGGACAATTTTTGAACGCTGACCATACAACGCCGCATCACATGGTATGCCTCTGAGACGACGGCCATACAGCTGCAAAACGATGATGATTTTCGGAGACTTGCGGAGAATCCGCATGGCTCCTCGAAGGACAGACAGTTCTTGCCTCACTCGGCATGTTGCCAGAGATGACCATTTTGATCCATTTTGGCGGTGTAATCGGTGTAGAGACATCTCAGGGCAAGATTCCAGGTCTCAAACCCATTGGTATGGCTGACTATGAGGTTGATGTTGGAGAAAGGAGTTATGTCATCCAACGCTCTTGTTTCCACTGTTGCCTGGCATATGCATCAGGAAAAGGATCTAAAATAGGATGCTAGCAGACTCTGCACTGATCATGCATCACTCAAATGATGTCGGAAAGGCGAAATCTGGCGAGGAACCCTGGCAACAGAATATATTTGGGCACACCAACTTCGAGATACTATCATATTATCATATTCATTCATATTCTGATGATTTGCCCCCTTTCACCGGCATCTTACAAATCAGAACCTCAGTAACTTCCAAACTCACAGAGTCTCAGAGACATATGTGATCATATGTGTTTCAATCTTATGTTAAACTTCTAAAAATATGTTTAGAATGACTGTTGTTGCGTACTCCACGTACTCCGTTGTTTCATCTCGTTTCATGTGAATCTGATGTCAGCTGTGTCCTGGCCTCAGCCACCGTGTATGAGTTTGAACTCATTGGCTTTGCTTGGAGACTTACAGCTCCCTTCAGCTGTCCTGCTGCGACATTCACAACCTGACAATGGCAACAATGGCATGGAATAGCCCTCATGAAAAAAATGAAATAGCTGCATTTTGCCTTTACAATCTTTAAATTCACCCAATGCGAAAAGATCAGACGCTCCTGCCTGAATCACGTCGGTCAAATTGTTCCACTCCACAGACTTTTGAAAAACTGCTGCGGCAGCAGGAACTGCTTCTAAAGCGAGCACCTTGCCAAGTCCATCATAGTCCATCTATTTGCTTCTCGATCTTGAACACCTTGAACCTCTCATAGCTACTTGCTAACTTTCCCTGGATCCAGTCAATTTACTCCATTTCCCCGTGCTTCGCTTTTTTCAAACCCAGCCAGCCTTGATACGACGAAGACCTGGAACTGCCTGCATACGTTTTGCCTCAGAGGCATCAAAATATGTACGCATATGTACGCATTCAGACGCATTGAAACACTTTTTGCCACGGAAGCAAACTTAGCAAACATCATCAAAATAGTGATCTTTAGGCTTTTTCCTTGTTCCCACTGTTTCAATGTCTCTGCCTTCATGCATTGTTCAGAACCAGTTAGGAACAATGGCAGCACACCGATGGAAAGATGAAAGGATGTCAATGCACAAAAATTGACAGACTCATTCACATGCATTCGCTGGAGGTTTCTTGCAACGTGCTAAACTCTCGCACTTTGGAAGCACGATGCTTCCATGATATGGGCAAAAAGCCAGCAAAGAAAAAGGTCTCTATATTCTCTATGTGTAAGCAGTCCCAACTGTCTGTGTGTGATCTTGACAGGTCTGGTTGTCTTCTGGAGTAAGGCAGCTGCAAGCCATACAGAGCAGTCGCCAAGATTTGCGCCGATCTCAACCACGTGAACCTTGAAACAATTGAACAATGTTTTTAAATGTTTCTGACATATTGAACTGAACACATCTCTGCACTATGGCACAAATGCATTCGTTGCCAGTGTGTATCAAAAGCAGGGCTGCAAGCAGCCTGACTCCTTTGCACTGAAATCTAAGTTCCAACTGCAGAAGCTCTCGTTCGGTGCAAGCGTCGAGCCAAAGTTTGTACCACACGCAGGATTGATTCCTGGCAGTGAACGTGGTCAAAAGATATCAAAGGATGGTCAAGGTCTATTATTCAGGTCAGCTGCACCGGCGCTTGGACCATGCCGGAGGGACATTGCAATAAGGTACTTTGCGAGCCCGGACAAAATCAGATACCAATTCCCTGTACGGGAAGACAAATAGCTGGTAGTTGATCTTCACGTCGTTCCGCATTCCAACATTGTCAGCCTCAAGCATAGGCTAAAAAAGACAGCAAATAGATGTAGAGTTCTTGATTTGGTTGTCATCAAGTGCTGATCGATCTAGCATGTCAAAACGAGCCCCCTGCTCCCATCCAGAACTGATGAGGTTGTACAACGATATCGACCATAGATGCGCATTGAAGCCTGGTCGGTAGTGACAAGATGATTGCAGATGCAGGACATTACCGGACATGTGACATTGCTTGACAACTTTCGCAACCGCAATGTGCACAATCCGTTTGAACAATTTGCTACTTGGCTCCTTTTTCGTTTCTCATTCCCGCCCTGTGCCTATCCAAAAGCCAAAAGAGCTCTGCTCCACCAGGCAAAGTGGACAATTCTTCAAGGCCGAGAAAACTGGCATCGCCTGAAATCCAGCCACAGCCGGTACCAACGTTGTACCAACATGGTTGCTTCAGCAATATTCAGTTTGACTCTGAAAAAAAGGGCTGCCCAACCTGGCAAGACTTGCATCAGAAGTGACTGGGCCTCAACAGGACATCCTAACTCTGAGGCATTGGTGACTAATGGTGAATAGACACGAGTCAAACGGAGAATTGTTCAACGTGTTGGCGTGTCTTGCTGAACAGCCGACCTTAGCGATCGCACGCTGAACACCTTCTTGGGCAGAGGAAGCCGAAGCACCACCTGCCAGAAGATAGTCTTTCCCACCCAAGAGTCGGAGGCATTCTGTGACGTTAGTGTCCTCAAGCCCACCGAATCCACTCCCATTTCCTGGTGCTTTCCGCATTGCCAAACCCTGCCTTTTTGCATAGCAGTACGGCGAGCCTGACTCACAATGATCACTTAAGAGAGGGATGCAGCGGCGCGACGATGTCGTGAAGACAAGCAATCAACTTCCTCAACGTCATTTAAATCAATCCCAGCACAGGCCCTACACCACATGTGAACTATCCTATATTGCAAATATATCCGTTTAAAATGAGCGCACTAGCAGAACCTTGCTTAGCAAAGGTATCTATGGGATAACCAAACAACTTGCTGGTAATTTTAAAGCTAGCGCAGTTGCGTAGTCAAAACGAATTAGAGAAATGGATCCTGCTCACAGTTCCGAAGACTGGCAAGACGCTTGTTTGCTGTTCCTTTCGAATTTAATACCCTCTGGTAGTTAAACATGGCAATTGGAAATCCCCTATTAATAGAGGTTTTAATGGGAAAAACATCCACCAACAAGGGATTGTCCGTTGCCACGTTTGATTACCGGATGGTATATTATTCTTCCTGGGTCAGCTCTTTGAATTCAATAACCAGTGTTTTTGTTGGTGTTTTTTGGTGTTCTTGTTTGAAGACTCTAAGCTTGGCACCCAGTCTGCCACTGCAAGCGTTGCTGCTGCTCTTAGAACTCGTGCATCTTTGTCCCCTTAGAGCAGAATTTCGGATTGCCGTGGCCTTATCCATCTGGAGTATCATCATCCAATATATCCAACATCATCCAGAATTGCCTCCAATATCCGCCGACCCCTGCCGACAGCAGGGGGAGCGCGTCAGAGAAGAGCTGATCAAAGGATAAGAAGCAAGAGCGAAGGAGACATGGCATCTCAAGACGTAAGAAGCAGAAGCAAGAGCGAAGGGGCCCGCAGGCTGGAAGACAGTTAAGACAGCTGTTTCGGCCTGGCGAGCGCGCCGTGTGTGAGTTTTGGCGGCTGGAAGACAGGGGCCGCGGCCCGCAGGCCGGGTCCGTCCCTCAGGGCCCTGCTGTTTTGGTGCGGCGAAGGCGCCGTTTGTGGGGCTTGGCGGCTGGAAGACAGCTCAGACAGCTAGTTTTCTTGCAGGTTCAGAAAAGCAACGTTAGGCACTGGGGGCCGCTGCCCGCAGGCCCGGTCCGTCCCTCAGGGCCCTGCTGTTTTGCTGTGGCGAAGGCGCCGTTTGTGAGCCTTCGCGGCTGGAAGACAGACAGCTCAGAGAGCTAGTTTTCTTGTCGGTTCAGAAAGCAACGTTAGGAACTGGGGGCCGTGGCCCGCAGGCCCGGTCCGTCCTTCAGGGCCCTGCTGTTTCGGTGTGGCGAAGGCGCCGTTTGTGAGCCTTCGCGGCTGGAAGATAGACAGCTCAGAGAGCTAGTTTTCTTGTCGGTTCAGAAAGCAACGTTAGGCACTGGGGGCCATGGCCCGCAGGCCCGGGAAGAGAAGCAACCAGAAGCGGCTAGAAAGTTGGCAAAGCAGAAGGGCAGGAGGGCAGGCAAAGTTCAAGGTTTGCACTGCCATGGTGTTTTCGCCCTGCGAGGGGGTCCTTGGCCCGGAGCTGTGCAGGATGAAAGTTAGCAGGCAAAGTCACGGCAGGAAAAAGCAAGGTTTGAAGCTAGTTTCTAGGCAGCTTGGCGGCTGGAAGACAGCTCAGACAGCTAGTTTTCTTGCAGGTTCAGAAAAGCAACGTTAGGCACTGGGGGCCGTTGCCCGCAGGCCCGGTCCGTCCCTCAGGGCCCTGCTGTTTCGCTGTGGCGAGGGCGCCGTTTGTGAGCCTTCGCGGCTGGAAGACAGACAGCTCAGAGAGCTAGTTTTCTTGTCGGTTCAGAAAGCAACGTTAGGAACTGGGGGCCGTGGCCCGCAGGCCCGGTCCGTCCTTCAGGGCCCTGCTGTTTCGGTGTGGCGAAGGCGCCGTTTGTGAGCCTTCGCGGCTGGAAGACAGACAGCTCAGAGAGCTAGTTTTCTTGTCGGTTCAGAAAGCAACGTTAGGCACTGGGGGCCGTGGCCCGCAGGCCCGGGAAGAGAAGCAACCAGAAGCGGCTAGAAAGTTGGCAAAGCAGAAGGGCAGGAGGGCAGGCAAAGTTCAAGGTTTGCACTGCCATGGTGTTTTGGCCCTGCGAGGGGGTCCTTGGCCCGGAGCTGTGCAGGATGAAAGTTAGCAGGCAAAGTCACGGCAGGAAAAAGCAAGGTTTGAAGCTAGTTTCTAGGCAGTTCAGAAAGCAACGTTAGGCAGTGGCGGCCGTGACCCGCAGGCCCGATCCGTCCCTCAGGGCCTTGCTGTTTGGCTGTAGGCGCCGTTTTCGGTCAGACAGCTAGTTTTCTTGTCGGTTCAGAAAGCAACGTTAGGAACTGGGGGCCGTGGCCCGCGGGCCCGGTCCGTCCTTCAGGGCCCTGCTGTTTCGCTGTGGCGAAGGCGCCGTTTGTGAGCCTTCGCGGCTGGAAGACAGACAGCTCAGAGAGCTAGTTTTCTTGTCGGTTCAGAAAGCAACGTTAGACTGGGGGCCGTGGCCCGCAGGCCCTGTCCCCGTCCTCAGGGCCCTGCTGTTTTCGGTGTTGCTAAGGCGCCGTTTGTGAGCCTCGCGGCTGAAAGACAGACATCTCAGAGAGCTAGTTTTTTCCTGGTCGTTCAGAAAGCAACGTTTAGAAACTGGGGGCCGTGGGGCCCCCCCTCAGGCCCGGTTCCCGTCCTTCAGGAGCCCCTGCTGTTTCGGGTGGCGAAGGCGCGCCGTTTGTGAGCCGTCGCTGGCGTGAAGACATACGCTGCGTAGCTAGTTTTCTTTCTCTTGTCGGTTCAGAAAGCAAGGTTAGGCACTGGGGGCCGTGGCCCGCAGGCCCGGTCCGTCCTTCAGGGCCCTGCTGTTTCGGTGTGGCGAAGGCGCCGTTTGTGAGCCTTGGCGGCTGGAAGACAGCTCAGAGAGCTAGTTTTCTTGTCGGTTCAGAAAGCAACGTTAGGCACTGGGGGCCGTAGCCCGCAGGCCCGGTCCGTCCTTCAGGGCCCTGCTGTTTCGGTGTGGCGAAGGCGCCGTTTGTGAGCCTTCGCGGCTGGAAGACAGCTCAGAGAGCTAGTTTTCTTGTCGGTTCAGAAAGCAACGTTAGGCAGTGGGGGCCGCGGCCCGCAGGCCCGGTCCGTCCTTCAGGGCCCTGCTGTTTTCGTGTGTGTGCGAAAGGCCGCCTTTGTGAACCCTTCGCGGCTGGAAGACAGACAGTCTCATAGAGGCAGTTTTCTGTCGGTTCAAAAGCAACGTTATGGAACTGGGCCTGGCCCGCAGCCCCGTCCGTCCTTCAGGGCCCTTGCTGTTCCGTGTGCGACGGGCGCCGATTTGTGATCTTTCGTCGGCTGGAATACCAAGCCGCTCAGAGAGCTAGTTTTCTGGTCGGTTCAGAAAGCACGTTAGGAGATGGGGGCCGTGGCCCGCAGGCCCGTCCGTCCCTCAGGGCCCTGCTGTTTCGGTTTGGCGAAGGCGCCGTTTTGTGACCTCGCGGCGGAAACAGACAGCTCCGATCGAGAGACTAGTTTTTTTCTTGTAGTAGGTTCAGAAAGTGACGTTAGGCACTGGGGGCCGTGGCCCGCAGGCCCGGTCCGTCCCTCAGGGCCTTGCTGTTTTGGTGTGGCGAAGGCGCCGTTTGTGAGGCTTTTGGCGGCTGGAAGACAGACAGATCAGAGAGCTAGTTTTCTTGTCGGTTCAGAAAGCAACGTTAGGAACTGGGGGCCGTGGCCCGCAGGCCCGGTCCGTCCTTCAGGGCCCTGCTGTTTCGGTGTGGCGAAGGCGCCATTTGTGAGCCTTCGCGGCTGGAAGAAAGACAGCTCAGAGAGCTAGTTTTCTTGTCGGTTCAGAAAGCAACGTTAGGAACTGGGGGCCGTGGCCCGCAGGCCCGGTCCGTCCTTCAGGGCCCTGCTGTTTCGGTGTGGCGAAGGCGCCGTTTGTGAGCCTTCGCGGCTGGAAGACAGACAGCTCAGAGAGCTAGTTTTCTTGTCGGTTCAGAAAGCAACGCTAGGCACTGGGGGCCGTGGTCTGCAGTCCCGGTCCGTCCCTCGGAGTTCCACTGAAGCGTCCATTTGTGATCAATTTCTGATCATCTGTGACTTTACCATTTCCAGGACAAACAAGCGAAATCTTCCAAACCTCGCGAAAGTGGTCCAAAATGTCAACTTCTGAGGCTCACGCGCCACAGAAGATATGCCCAGGGCTCGGCGGCAGGGGGCGGAGCCCTTTAATCCGGCCAGGGGCCCCCTGGCCGTGGCATTGCCGAAGGCGGTTCTCTCCTCTCCGTAGGAGAGAGGGGCCGCCGCCCCCTGCCGCAGGAGAGTCGGTCCGGCCAAAAAGTCCCGCGTTTTACGGTGTTTTGTGCTCTTCCGACTTTTTTCCCATTTTTCGGATCTTGTGGCTCAAGATGGGTCAACATGGGCCAACATAGGCCCCAAGATGGGCCAACATAGCCCCAAGATGGGCCAACATAGCGCCCAAGATGGGCCAAGATAGCCCCAAGATGGGCCATCATAGCTCCAAGATGGGCCAACATAGCCCCAAGCTGGGCCCACATTGCCCTCAAGATGGGCCAACATAGCCCCAAGATGGGCCAACATAGCCCCAAGATAGGCCGCCGACCATCAAAATATCCTGCGTTTTACGGTGTTTTTTTGCTGTTCCCATTTTTCGGATCTTTTGGCTCAACATGGGCCAACATGAGGCAAACATAGGCCAACATAGCCACAAGATGGGCCCACGTTGCCCGCAAGATAGGCCAACATACGCCAACATAGGCCAACATATAGCCACACGATGGGCCAACATAGTTGGGCCCCTGGCCGGCTGTCGCGCGTAAGCGCTTAAATTCGGCTCCGCCGGCTCCCCACGAATGGCTTGCCCTACGAGCGTCCCAGAGCGACTAGAGCTCTATGGTGAGGTGCGCCCCAAGCCGCCGACCCTCCGACGCCGGGCCCCGAAAACCACCAAAAATCCTTCAGGAGGGTGGGGGAGAGCTTTTTGGCCGGAATCCGGGTCGCTCATAAGCGTCTCCAAGAGCAAAAGGCCCTTCCCCCGATTTTGAGGGTACCTAAAATCGGAAAAAAGTGCCGTTTTGACACATTTTTCGGACGATTTTCAGCTTTTCGAAATGGTTTTAACGTCTTTTGCGGGAGCCATGCAAAAACGCAGAAAATGCTGTAAATACCAATACTTTTTGGACCCAAGATGCACAAAACACTGCAAATACCAGTGTTTTTGAAAGCCAAGCAAAAAAAACACTGTAAATTACAGCATTTTTGGCAGGTTGATCGCAAAAAATGCTGGTATTTACACGGTTTTTGCAATTTCAAGAAAACGTGGACGGCACGAAACACTGTAAATAGCGGTGTTTTGGCCACTTTTGGACGCCGAAACGCTGGTATTTACGCATGTTTTTGCCCGTGACGGCACCAAACCCCTGTAAATTACAGCATTTTCTTCCCTTTTTGAGCCGATTTTTTGCGTTGATGAACGCAAAAAAACGCTGGTATTTACGCGTTTTTCAAAAAATCGAAGATCGTGACGTGAACGAAACCCTGTAAATAACCGTGTTTTAGCCACTTTTGGGGACTAAAACTGCGGTATTTACGCGGGTTCTTGCCATCTGACAGCGCAAAATGTTGTAAATTACAGCACTCTGTGCCCTGTTTATGTTCAATTTTTTAACCTGCGATGCTTTCACCTGTTCTTTGCATTCTTCCACAGGAAACAATGTTGCAGATTGAAACTGGACGACAGCGTGACCCGAAAGAAAGCTGGATGGAGGAGTCGCACAGAAGCTTTTACACATACAGGTGCTTTTACAGCTTTTACACAGAGAAGTCTTTACACAAAGGAGCTTTTTACATACAGAAGGTTTTACACAGAGAAGTCTTTACTCTAAGGGGCTTTTGCACACAAACGTCTAGGAGCCTTTACACACAGAAGCTGTTACACAAAGAAGTCTTTACACAGAGGGCTTTTTACACACAGACGCGTTTGCACACAGAAGCTTTTACACAGAGAAGCCTTCACACAGAGGGGCTTTTACACACAAAAGCATTTACACACAGCAAGCTTTTACACACACAGGGGCTTTTACACAGAGAAGCCTTTACACAAAGGAGCTTTTTACACACAGAAGGTTTTACACAGAGAAGTCTTTACTCTAAGGAGCTTTTGCACACAAACGTCTAGGAGCTTTTTCACACAGAACTTTTTACACGAAGAAGGCCTGACAGAGAGAGTTTTTACACACAGACGTGTTTGCACACAGAAGCTTTTACACAGAGAAGCCTTTACACAGAGGAGCTTTTACACACAAAAGCATTTGCACACAGCAAGCTTTTACACACACAGGGGCTTTTACACAGAGAAGTCCTTACACAAAGGAGCTTATTACACACAGAAGGTTTTACACAGAGAAGTCTTTACTCTAAGGAGCTTTTGCACACAAACGTCTAGGAGCCTTTACACACAGAACTTTTTACACGAAGAAGTCTTTACACAGAGGGCTTTTTACACACAGACGCGTTTGCACACAGAAGCTTTTACACAGAGAAGCCTTCACACAGAGGGGCTTTTACACACAAAAGCATTTACACACAGCAAGCTTTTACACACACACAGGGGCTTTTACACAGAGAAGTCCTTACACAAAGGAGCTTTTTACACACAGAAGGTTTTACACAGAGAAGTCTTTACTCCAAGGAGCTTTTGCACACAACCGTCTAGGAGCTTTTTCACACAGAACTTTTTACACGAAGAAGGCCTGACAGAGAGAGTTTTTACACACAGACGCGTTTGCACACAGAAGCTTTTACACAGAGAAGCCTTTACACAGAGGGGCTTTTACACACAAAAGCACTTGCACACAGCAAGCTTTTACACACACAGGGGCTTTTACACAGAGAAGTCCTTACACAAAGGAGCTTTTTACACACAGAAGGCTTTACACAGAGAAGTCTTTACTCTAAGGAGCTTTTGCACACAAACGTCTAGGAGCCTTTACACACAGAAGCTGTTACACAAAGAAGTCTTTACACAGATATATAGCTTTCACACACAGACGCGTTTACACGCAGAAGCTTTTACACAGAGAAGCCTTTACACTTTACACAGAGAGTTGTTACACACGGAAGCTTTTACACACAGTGAAATCTTTACACAGACGTTTCACACAGAGAAGCTTTCACACGCAGAAGCTTTTACACAAAGAAGTCTTTACACAGTGGTTTTTACACAGAAACTTTTACACACAAAAGCTTTTACGCAGAGAAGTCTTTGCACAGAGGCACCTTTACACGTTTACACGAAGTAACAAGTTGAAATTGGCAGCAGTTCTTCGGGAAAAACCCTTGGCAGGAGCTTTCGGGAACTCACTTGCTCCCCAAAAAAGCCGTCTATTTCCAACAAAGTTCCTATGCCATGACCTTTTTTCAAAAAAACATAAGGAATATATTTCTGAAGCAGGTCCCCATCCAAAAGCTTTCAAGCCCGCGCTGCGATGAAATGGAGGGTCGAGAAATCCGGCGGAGCCGACGAGGGGCGTCAGCCCTTAAATCCGGCCAGGGGCCCCCTGGCCGTGGCATAGCCGAAGGCGTTTCTCTCCTCTCCGTAGGAGAGAGGGGCCGCGCCCCCTGCCGCCGACCTCTCCCCCCCGCCAAAAAGTCCCGCGTTTTACGGTGTTTTGTGCTCTTCCCATTTTTTCCCATTTTTCGGATCGTGTGGTTTAAGATGGGTCAACATGGGCCAACATAGACCTCAAGATGGGCCAACATAGCCCCAAGATGGGCCAACATAGCCCCCAAGATGGGCCAACATAGCCCCAAGATGGGCCAACATAGCCCCAAGATGGGCCAACATAGCCCCAAGATGGGCCAACATAGCCTGAAGATGGGCCTGCGTTGCCTTCGAGATAGGCCAACATAGCCCCAAGATGGGCCCACATTGCCCTCAAATAGGCCAACATAGCCCCAAGATAAGCCGCCGACCCTCAAAATATCCTGCGTTTTACAACGTTTTTTTGCTGGTCCCATTTTTCGACTCTTTTGGCTCAACATGGGTCAACATAGGCCTCAAGATCGGCCAACCTAGGCCCCAAGACGGGCCAACATAGCGCCAAGGTGGGCCAACATAGCCAACATAGCCTCAAGATGGGGCAACATAGCCCTAAGATCTTGCTCCCAGCTAGACTGACCCATCTCACCTCAACATGGGCCCCTGGCCGGCTGTCGCGCGTAAGCGCTTAAATATCCAACATCATCCAGAATTGCCTCAGGAGCATATCCCTTTAGTCCGAGGAGGGTGCCACAACTGCTTTCTGATTCCTGCAAAAAGTCGAGGC